ATTCGCTATACGAGTTGCTAAAAGTAGAGAAGCAGTCGTAAACATCAGCTATTGTTTGAAGTGCGGAGTAATTGGTGAAAATAATATGTTATTGGAATCATGATAATAATAGATAACACAGTTAGGACCAACAGTGTTTCACAATCTAGGCGAATATACAATCAAATTAGAATGTTAATTTTACAATAGTTTTACTTATTAGCAATATATAACGAAATAATGGTTTGCTTCTTCTAGCTAATCTCAAACAGCTGGACCAATTCTGATGAGACATCAATTGGGCTAAAGCAGGTAATACAAAAATGACTTTTATCGTTTCTTTGGAACATTTCGAGCAGCTAACATAGTAAAAATATCACGAGTTTTTAGTAATATATTGAAAAATCTGTGAAAGCAAAACAAAAACACAATTATGTGTGTCTGTCTGTTTTCATAACAATCAAGTCTACGTGTGAGTTTGAAGTAAAGGCGCAATAGTAGAACAATTTTTACGATTGTTTATTAGAACTTCTAAAAGCGTAAGCTTTGCGTTACTCATAAATATACTGACGCAAGTTGTAAAACATACGTACATTTTAAGTAGTGATAGTGTTTATCATTTCAGAAGCTTTTGAAAGCTCTATTCTGCTTTTTAAATACTTACGTAATTAAAAATAAACAATAAATCCCAACTAGATAAAACTCTTTAACGGTTTAAAACGCGATATATATCTGGACCACGTCTCCCCGTGACTACGGCTGTTGCAAAGCATCCGAAACGTCGGGGCCGAAGTTAATAACTTTCAAATAAATTTAACTACTATATATCGCGTTTTAAACCGTTAAAGTGTTTTATTTAAATGTGTAATAATCGCGTACACTACAGACAGTATTAAATCCCAACTAGGTTTACATACCACGATTCAAAATTGGAATTAAATTATTGATAATTACGACAACAAGAAAAGCGATTTCCACGAAAATTTTCCGCACAAATCAATAAATCGACCGCCATATCCTGAGTCAGAATGACCAAATTTAAATTCGCAATTTAGCACTTATCACGTTGTAACAAGGATTATACTTTATCTAGATGTAAATCAACAATAAAACCGATTTCGATGCGTGTGAGATGTAAATTAATCCGAATTTATCTTTGTTACAATTCGGCTTGTGATTCAAGGGTTCTCTGAAGAACGATTTATATCTGGCAACACTCAACGTTACTTCGACGTTGAGTGTTTAATCGATGAAAGGTGGAAGAACTTGGAGATGGATTTGGGTCATTGTTTTGTTTCATATTGAATTTAAAAACAGCAATGTCATGAAACGCTGTCAATGTAAAAACTGATAATACAAAAAAAAGATATTTTTCCTATTTCCTACAATTTCATCTATTATAAATTGACAATGATGCTGATAGCAGATGCCAGATTTTAATTACGCAAGAAGCTTTATTTTACTAACAATATAATGAATTATGATCGAGTAACATAGCTAGGAGAAGGTAATAAAATAAAAGGAAAACTCCGAACAACCAATATCCACTTATTCCACCATGGTAGAAATAAACTTTATGCTGCTTGTAAATAAAACGCTTTAACGGTTTAAAACGCCATATATATAAGTTAAACTTATTTGAAAATTATTAAATTATGATTTAACTAATATATATCGCGTTTTAAACCGTTAAAGTGTTTTATTTAAATGTGTACTCACGTGAACTACAGACAGTACTATGCTGCTTTGTTTAATAACGGGATGGCACACAGACGATGTTATGGAAAACAGAAGAGTTATGCATATTTTAGTTCTGGATGGAATCACCGCTAAAAACATCAGATAACTTGCTCATTTAACATGCGGACACATTCAATGTATGGGAGTAGCCAAGGCCAACGATGGACAGATAAAAGTTTTATCATCGCCATAAATAATAACGTACTGTATTCTGTAGTCTATGTCCCTAGTACGAGTAAAAAGACGAAGCATAAACAATTGCTTACGACCGCTCTATAACTAGAATACATTCATCAGTGACCGCTCTATAACTAGAATACATTCATCTCTAAAATAGTGAATGTAACGAGTAAACTTGTTTAAAACGCGAATAATTCTTTGAATAAATAAATGAAACTACGCGATAAATGTATATATTATTTATACTAGTAGCTCGACCATGCTTTCATGGTTATTGTGGGTACATTTATAGGTACCTAAACCTTAAAAAAATCTAAAAAGACTTACTTTTATTTAAAAGGTCTACAAAACTAATCTTTAATTTAGAGACATGGTTTAAGCATAATTCAAAGGAAAAATCTCAAAAATTAAGCCTATAAATCAAAGCAGATGCGACATGCTACACCTATCCTGCCCGAAAACTGCTTTAAAAAGTAAATTTCTATTTCTAGATGCTTTTACAGAAACATAATGTATTACTAGTTAGAATTAATAATTATATCCCATAGAACATTCCATGTTCTTAGACGTCATTACTTATCATACCAATTCAGTATACAACTCATTATGCGACATTGAATCTTAATTGACCAGTTTTTGCTTACGGGTCTCGGAAAAAATTATATTTTAGTTCTCGGGAAAAATACACTCATTTGTTACTAAGTAGCTTGCTTATCATTATGTATTATTGGTCCATAAATGTTACGATCACTTAGTCTTGAAAATTGTAAATGTTGGTTTTGTAGTAATAACAATTATTTATTAAATTCAAACTTTTTTCTATTTCCGGTAAAAGTGAAGTCTAATCGCGTTTCCGTTTCAGTCTTTGGATTTCCGAATATCCAAGTCAAAATAGGTCGACAGCGCATCTTGTTTAGATGCCCCCCCCCCCTTCAGATGAACCCCATGCTTGTCTGTCCTCCTCTATTATTACTAATTTACATAATTAAAATGTCTGTCTGTGTCTTCCTAATAACATTTAGTTGACCCAGATCCAATGAAACATCTATGCTACGGGCGATAAATAAATTTTGACAATTATCATTTCGACGAAAACTAAGATGGAGACATAAAGTTGTACATTCGTAGAATCGCCAAGGACCCGGTTCGTCGAAGCTCGTAAAATATTATCACAATACGCCATTACTAAAGACCTTAACACCATCGAGCTGTCAACTGACAATTCGATTTTAAATGGACCATTTGGCCAAACTTTTTGGTTTCAAAGGCTGAACGTGATTTATAAACAGACGGATCTGGTTCGCGTGTCTATTAAAAACTACTCTCTTGACACCAGTAAAATTATCTAAATATATATATTAAGCTAGCCAAAGGTTTGGAAACTGTCATTTCTTAAACGTGGAATCGCGTTTCCTCTATAAATGACCCAGGTATGATTGAGAATAGAAAGGACTTAATATCAAAACGTAGCTTATCGAATAAACCGGAATAAATTAGCTAATAATCGCAGCCGTTACTTATAATGCAACGCGAGCCAACTATAAATAAACAATAACGGGAAATGTGTCATTACGCAGTAGGTTCTTGCAGCGGCCTGAATGTAAAGGCGGCAGATTAAGGTCGCAGATATTCTCTAAACTAACAAATATTCCGTACATGATAAACATTTATTCTTGCCTTACTGTTGTTAGAAGTTATGTCTATTGCACTGTGGACAAATACGAAAGAACTTAGCCCGGTCAAGATAAACACTGCCTTTAGTTTACGCGAGTAATACACATTGAAATAAAACACTTTGACGGTTAAAAACGCGATATATATTAGTTAAACTTATTTTAACTACAGCCTGACATTTCGGATGCTTTGTAGAAGCAGGGGAGTCTCCATGTGACCACGGCTGCTGCTTAGCATCCGAAACGCCTGGCCGTAGTTTAAAATAATTTTACTTCTTTACTTTAACTAATATACATCGCGTTTTAAACCGTTGAAGTTCAAGATAAGAAAAAGAGAGGTCAAGATATTTAATAGTTATTGTTGTATGTGATCATATCGTATTTTTATAACTCTACCTTTAAGGAGTAAATGATTTTTATTTAAAGTAATACATAACTCAAGATTACATAGTAACATATTATTGTTATATAAAAACGGAGTTGAATTAACAGAGACCGTGTATTAAATCCTTATAGATTGCTGATTAGAAGGTGCTAAAAACGATTTATGCAATAAGAAAAGCCGTTAAACAGGACAAACGTGTATAGTATGGGAACAGAGAACGGATCATATTCTCTGGAGTGGACTATAAATAGGCCCGACGCTCCTGTTACATGTTAGGTACTTGCCCTAACTAGGTATTCTGGTCTAACGTCTGGCTGCATTGCAGTGTAATTGACCTGTTCGACTTGAATTCTAAATGCTTTGAAAAACCACACTGCATCGGTATTCCATTCTTTATTTATTATAAAGTAAAAGTATATATTAATCATTGAAATTAATAAAAAAAATGAATAAATTAAATTTATAAGTTCAACGATGAAACGGCTTTTAAAAATTTGACGATTTAAACTTATTCGCTGTAACATAAATATTTTTAAAGGTCCGAATTAAAGCTATACAAATTCAAATTCAAAACTTTTATTGCTATTATAAGATATTTTATAAGTTTATGCTAAGTATATAAGTTTAGAGAGAATAGTGATAACGTCCTATTTTATTTTTATTTAAGAATAAATAAAAAATAAATGAATCGCGCAGTGTAGGGAAACAATGAATAAATTAAAATAACAACAGATGGGTAATTACGATAATTATACTATAAATTATAGCCACGTAATTATAAAATTGATGTACACAACATCTAAAAAAATACCAACACGTTCAATCGTAAACCGAAGCTCGACCTAGCGCGCCACGAGATCTGATGGAGCTTTTCGGAACTACGCGTTGAGAGTTAATAGTACACGACAAATCCACTAGATGGCGCTTTAGCCAATAAAAACATTCGTAGTGTTTTAATAATTATTTTTTGGTGTATGTAAGAAGCAAGGATGTCGTATTTTAGACCATTTCCAAAGCATGGTAGGACAACTTAAGTACTAAACTCACCTTAGAAGGCACGTGAGTTGAACATCGTTTTGATATCGGGCCAAAGCGCTGACGCCTTCCACTCGCACTGTATTCACTTTGTCTCGTAATGAATTATTACACCCGCCGCACCTTTCCCGTAGTATGGACATTATGTTCGGTTGTCGTAGAAATGCAACCACCTTGTAATAAATAATATTAGTTTATTTTGATGACAAAAATATCAATAAAAGTAAAAAAGAAATATTTTAAAATTATGTTTAAAAATCGATTTTCACATGTTATTGCACATAGGCCATGTGCCACCATGTCTAATAACATGTGAAAAAAAGTTTTCAAATACCTTATCATTATAAGCCACAGGAATCTCCTGATGGGTTTGGTGAGTGTAAACATCTGATGCGGTTATTGGTGGCCGCGGAGGTGGTGTCGGCGCCTGCGCAATAAAAAATATATATGTTTTTAATTTTCCAAAAGATATAAGGCGTTATTTCTCATAGCAATTTTCAAAAATCACAACCACACCAAATTTTATATCGCCCCACAATATTAAAAAAAATAGCAATAAGACTTGCATCTTCCGCTCAAATGTATGACACCAGTAGGGTGTAGTAGGGAGACACAAATTTTTGGTGCTTTTAGGATTCCGTATAAATTGCCAACATAAACCTTACAACTACACAACGAACGTAAATAGTGGCAAACGAAAGGACGACTACAACCCAAACAAAAAAGAATAGATGCAGAACAAACTACTAGCGTATAAACGAGCTACATTACACGATGCAAAACAAAAACATGCAGACAGACAACAATACAATAATGTAGTCTAATGTTATCATGCATACCAGAAAATACCAACGACCGGTCTTTATTATAGGCCTTCAGGCTAACTACCCGTAATCCATCATAAAACTAAACGAAAATATGCGTTCTTTGACTTATTAAATTTAAATTTTATTATATTTAAATTTAATAAGAGAATATAAAATGATATTTAACCCAAAAATATATTGAGCCTGAAGACATTTTCTGAACCTGGATTAGTTATGGTCTATTCTCGACGAGATAATAAAGATTAAAAGTGTGTCTAGACACTTTTAACCTTTATTGTCACACTTTGAGCATTTAAATAAAACACTTTAACGGTTTAAAACGCGATATATGTTAGTTAAACTTGTTTGAAAATTATTTTACCCACGGCCCGACGTTTCGGATGCTTTGCAGCAGCCGTGGTCACGGGGAAATGCAAAGCATAACTAAAACTTTTAAACCGTTAAAGTGTTTTATTGAGATGTGTACTGCGTAAACTATAGACACATTGCATGTTAGCATGTTTTTTTCTTTTTTATATGATTGTGGGAAAGAGACAAACTCTATCAACTCGTTTTGGTAGATAGGCTACAGCATAGGATAACATTAGACTACACTTAACAACGTCGCAATAGACCTGGTCGTGGTGATTGAGCCGTCTCCTCGGAGGCAGAAGTGGGGAGAACGGTCCCGCCTGTGGGGCACGCGGCAGTCGTGGGTCGATGAACGTAGTACGACGCATCACGTGGTCCACGAAGAAACGCTGTTACGGTACGTCATTCAGCTTTGTTTTACTATTACTTGTAAAAATATGATAAGTCCCCAAAAATCTTTAAATTATGGATATCCTAGTTTGTATTATGAATTAATATACGCTGCGTTTGTCGTCTTATCATGTTTAGTAATTTTGATTTGCCGATAACGTGAAAGACAAAAGCTAGGCTATTCCACAGCTTTCCTACAGCTCTCCCCACAATATTGGATCTTTAAAAAAAATACATAATTATTAAGATATCAAAAGAAGTTAATACAAATTGAATACCTTTCCGTTCCTATCAAGTTTCGTGTCCCATCCTAACGGTAGGTCTCGATCTGATTCGCTGAACATATTAACTAAGGCCACGAGGTCCCGATTGTGTTGATAACGGTCGAATGATGAGGTGTCTCGACGAATCTTCGATATCATGTGTTTTAAGGTCGAGTTGCAATTGTAGAGAGAGGAGGCTTCCTGTAATTTTGCAATAAACAATTTGATAAGAACAATTGTAATACAAGCTTAGTAAGCAAAAATTGTTTGCCCACAAACGGGAAGTTAAAGTCCAAACGTGTAAGAAAAAATATACATATATCTCTATGTACCCTGGATAAGTAAACTAAATACTGAAATTGGCCTGGAATTCAGATCTTTTATAAATGACTGTGTTGGATTCATGTAGGACATATATTTAGACATCATTGAATCGCTAATTCATGTTACAGCTAGAAACGAAACGGGTTTATTTTTATATAAAATGTCACGTAATACTAAACTCAAGTAATAATAAAGTATGTTACCATTGTATTCAGCACAGTTAACAATAAACTAAATACTAAACTAAAAAGCCCAAGATATTGAAACTAACAGCGTTCATATGCAGTATTGAGTAGAAGTCGGGCCTGGCTAGGAACTCAGCGGCGGGATGTGGCGCAGGCGGGGGCAGCGGGTCGGGGCGGGAGGTAGCTGGCGCCGGCGCAGGCGGTGGTGACGAACTGGCCGCGCGCTCCTCTTCACCCAATTGAGTACGTGTCATAGTGCGACGAATAGATTGATACCTGAAAATCAGAAAGAATAAGTTAGTATTAAAAATTACGTATGGTAGAATATTACAATGGCAGTTGAACCCAAGGCACATACTAAATTTATGCCTAAATATATGTACATATTGCATTATAGTAGCTAGCTGTATTTATTAAACAATCAAACGCAAATATCATAAAATTATTGTACATGATATTAGGATGTCTATTGTTTTAAATAAATCTCATTATTAAATACTTTTAAGTAATACGTTTTCTTACGTTTGCTCTCTTTTTCTTACCTTCTATCTAATTGTCGTCTCTGTATTTCAGGGGCTGGTGTTCTCGGCGATGATCCGTTCGCCGATGGCCTTTGCCAAGTTGTCGTGCGGTTTATGTGGTCAATATAGAATACTCTGCCGTGACTGTCCATACGAGCTTCCCATCCTAGAATCATCATTTTTTTAACATAGTGTTAACAAAAGACAACAACCATTAAACAAATCTAGGTATCTTTAGAACTTAGAAATAGGAGCAATTTTTAATTGAATTACTTATGAATAATTTTAAGTGTAAATATTTTTAAATATGCCAAAAGGCTCACCGGGTGGTAATGGTTCCTCGCATTCAATTATCCCACCAATCATATTAGCGGGAAAATCTCCTGTCAAAGCCATCTGTCGCGAAGCCCTCTCAGGTATAGATGGTAGCCGTATCCCGGCCATATGCCGAAGAGGCGTCGGCGACGCCACAGCATTATCGTTGTCATCATTATCATCATCAGGTTGGGGCCTCCTCAAGACCACGTCATCCGGAGGCCCCGCGTGGACTATTGTAAAGTGATTGCTGTTCATAAACTCTAAATTTGGAGATCTTATCTCCGATGTTCGCAATTCATTTGTGAATTCGACCATCTCGAATGTATCGTGGAGCCTGTTGTCCGCACTTTGTACGGGTGGTGGATGTAAATCAGGGGGTGGTAGGGGGCGTGGCCGACGAGCGTGATGCGTGGGCGTCGGCGGACATTGCGGCACTGCTGATCCGGCTAACGCTGCCACCCGAGTAAGTACTCTCGGGTGAGGTCTAACCGGGCTATCGTTGGTGCGGTGCGGGGAATGTTTAGGAGTACTTTCACAGCCGAGGTTCTTCAACAAGTGTCGCGGGAGGCTTGAATGTTTTGGCATTGAGCTATCGCACGAATATTTCCGATTCATCAACAGTGTTCCAACGTTGGGTATACCTTTGCAGCCTTCGTCGATGGGAGAAGTGGAATGCGACGAGTTACAGGAACTAGGACCGTTTGGACTGTTGCTTTTACTTTCGCTTTCCCTGCTCGGACTGTCGATATGAGATGAATTAAGAAACGCCGTCATCATAGTCGGTGTATTCGCCCGACCCGAGTTCTGTCTAGTCAAAGGCTTGTGAGATTTAACAGTTATTTCTTTCTCTTCTACCTGATTACGATTATCGTCTTCAAAATCGGTGCTATTGCTTATATCATTCAAAAAAGTGTTCTGAGCTTTCTCTTCCGATTTAGCGTGATTGGGTGTTAAATGAAATCCGTCCACTACGTCTTTTTCTTTATCTCTCCTTGCGAAAGTGGTTGTAATATAATTATCAGGTCCTATATCTTTTATAAACATTATATTTTTCCTACTTACACTAGGCGAGCCTTCAGGTACTGTATTTAATTTCTTATCGTCGAGTACTTTTGATAGTTTAGACAATGTGGATTCACACAAGCTGCCTTCAGTCTCTGGGGTGGCTAGGGGAGCCACGTTTTGGCTTTCTTTGATATTCGCTACTGACGCTAATGGAAGCTGTTTTCCTGCATAAAATTCGCCGGGTTTAAAGTCTACTATATTCCCCTGTAAGCCTGCAGAGATAGATATATTTTTATCCGTGAAAAACTGTTCGTCCGTATCGATTAGTTCAAATGTAAAAGCGTCTTCCGGCTTAGTGATTTTTTTAGGTTTCCTATGTCTTTGCACGGCGGGCGGTAAGGCGTGCATTCGCTCCAACGGTTTGTGAGACTGTCTTGGCGGTAAAGGCGGAACGGGTGATTTCTGTGCATCGCTAGGAATATTGGCACCCTCGACATCGTAAACGAATTTCATTATCTTACACGGATTTTGCGGTGACCAGATTTTATAATATTCCGTATCCGGCGACGACGGCGATTCCAAGCCCATGTTAAAATTGGTTTTTTTCTTAACACCATTTAACGGCTGACCGCCCCCAGTGTCGACAGGTGGTGGACATTTCTTTTTTACGCCGGACGACGTGGGCTTGCAGTCTATCGTATTGTGAGATTCATTATTTACACAGGGAGGTTGTTTACTTAAATTATTAACTAGAGATTTGCTAGGATCACATTTTGTCGGTTCGAGATTCGAAGTCCCGCTCCTATCTAACGAACTAATTGAGCATTTATTAACATCTTCGCTCAAATGCTTGATATCTTGACTCGGTACGACGCGTTCAATCCTGTGAGTATTTTCCGAGTTCATTTCGAAGCTTTCATTGTTGTACGAGAAGTGAGACACCTGGTCGCCGCTTCTCTTCCTAGAAATGCCTTCCTTGAGCCGGTGCGGCAACTTCTTGAGGTCGACTTTGAATTTATGCGGAAGGGAAGAGGACTCCGCCACGCACTCGTCATCTTCGCCGTTGTAGTAGCGAAAACAAAGAAGCTGCTCGCAATCTGGAATAAAAATATGATCTTTAAGCTTTGTGTTTATATCATTATCAATGCCAGAGTTCAATAAAGCATTTATTATTATTAATTATATTATTATGCAATGTTAAAAATCAATGAATTAAATCATCAAACATTACTAAGTTATAGAAGTGGAAATTTAACTGATAGCATATACCTATAAATTCCGCATCAGTAGCTAAATGATTGAACGTGTTGTCTAGCATTGCGTTGAACGCGAGAGGGCCTGGTTTCGAATCCCGGGCAAACAAAAAATTGTTTCGAAAGACCCGGGCACAGAATACCATATAGGGTCTACCTTTTATCTTAAATAAGGACTCTATTTAAAACGACGGTATTCCAACACACTCGCAGATGTAACACGAACGACCCCTTGAAATTCTCGCATGTAAATCGAATCCGCGTCGTCGTGCATAAATAATTACCTTCATAAGGTTGATTAGGCTCGTCAAGCAGCCACATTATGTGGCCAGTGTCGCATCCGGTCGCCGGCACGAGCCTGGCGATGCCGGAGATGCTCGCGGGATCTGTAAATCAACGGTCGACATTGTTATCGCTGTATTTGTGACACGACAGCATCTGTTATCATTCTAAGAAACTCAAAGCCGCTCCGGAAGTAGATAGGCCAATCACGCAAAATAATTTAGTCGGTTGATAATGCTCTCAATTAAAGAGCTCTTTACGCTTTAAAAGATGTACATGTAGCTCTAACAGAATATTTAGGGAGTTTTTTAGTTAAAGCTTCGCCTATAAGGCATTTATAAAGATATAAGGCTTATTGTATAACGGTTACACTTCTCGTGAGCACTATTTTCCAAACCTTATTCTAACGCTTATATCGACCACAATTAATTGCTTCGATTTAGATCTATTAAGCAAATGCAAAATAAGCTTTATTGGCAGTAGGAGTAAGGTTGATAATTGTATAAAGATGAAACAATACAGAAACACAGCTACCGCGCGGAACCTACTTATTTATAAGTATCGGCGATCGAAAAAAGCAAAAGGCCACGCACAGGTGCAGAACTGCTCGCAAAAACAAACAAGACGAGGAAACAGACAGCGGCGGCGAACCCTTCCATTTTTTATCTAACAAAAATCGAGGCGTAGGACGCACGGTTCGGCGCAGGCGCAATGCAATTTATGCGCCAGACTTAATCGCCGGATGCGGGAGTCGCCCGCACATTTTATGCGAAATAATCGCGGCCACCGAATTGTCACTTAATTGAAAAGGCATGCCCATCGATTGTGAGGGAGGCGAATCGATACTGTGCCCCTAAACGGGATTTCTGTGTTCTAAAAGACCTATTTATATAGATATTGTATGTCATTGCATTTTAAATCTAAGAGACTATACGACCTAACCGTGTTAACAACGTTAACAGCTTAATAAAAAAGCAGACATAACAAGTCAACAGCACATCTTATTAGTTTAGCTGTCATATTTCATCTACCATTAAGTGAACTCCACCCTTGTCTGTTCTCCTCTACCATAAAAATAGCTTATATACTTGGTAAACGTTATTCTGCGATTCAAAAGCAATAATACAATCTATATTAATATTATAAAAAGTTTGTTTGTCTGTTCGCACTATTCCCAAGAACTAATGTTCGCGACAGTGTATGTCTGTCTTTTAACACATACTTGCAAGAACGACGTCGTCGGATTAAAGATAAAGATGTTTGCAAAACTTTGCAGTTTCAGTCGGACATTACAATTTCTTAGATATAGTTTTACATTCACAGGTATAAAACTATCTTAATACAGCGTCGCCCGCGCCGGTCCCTTAAAACGTGTAACAGGAGCGAATTACAATATTCTGATTGGATAAATATCGGCGCATGGTTAACATCTTCCTGCAGTTGATTAAGTGCGCGGTGGCCTCGTAAATATTGTTCTCGCTGGATGTTTACGTCAAACATTCGACTTTGTGCTCGGGCGCGGAGGATATAATTCATAATAATATTATAGGCTGCGGAAATAAAGGAGTAACATGTTGTCGGGTTACGAGTTATGCGGGCATCGTGTGTTTGCGCTTCCGATTCATTTCAAACGAGGGCAAGAAGCTGCCAAGCGATGCAAAAGTCTTAGTAGATACTTTAAAAAAACAACTACTGAAGAATGCCTTATAATTTTGGGTAATGTAGTGTTATTGTTACATTTGAAACAATTGTCGCAACATTGAAATAAAATACTCAACGGTTTAAAACGCGAAATATATTAGTTAAACTTAACGTTTCAACATGCGATGCTTAAAACATATTAATATATTTGTACGTATATAATTTATTTCATGTTCTACACAAAAAATAAAGAATTAATTATTTATGCGAACAAATGCTAAAGTAACTAATATCTACTATAACTTATTAACTCAAATCTTTAAACGAAAATTAGGAGCATGCATGCATGTATGCAGCTAAAACCACGCCGTGTTTCCAGTTAACCCCACGAGTATGATTGATTATTCGTATCTTTTTAAGCACATGTTCGCTTCGAAGTTATCACATCTTTCGCTAGTTAGGCACGTATACGCTCTGAATAATATTACTTTAATGACTGTAATTTCCCGCCAGCCGGCTTAAGTGCAAGCTTAACGTACGAAACAAAAAGTCGAAAAGTGGAAAGGTACGTTTTGTAGTGATTATTACAATGTGTGTTACTAAATGTCTGACGAGATGTAACCGGTGTGAAATAAATGTGAAGTAAACTTATATATACCGCGTTCTAAATTAAATTGAACTCTTCACTATCTGAGTATAAACTGTAGATCTAATCGACTTCGGATTCGTAGAATTTTACAATTAAACATTAACATAGTATATACTATGGTGATTTTTAAATTTAATGCTAATACAGTTTGATATCGCTGTATTGGCATTAAATTACATATTGAGACATGATGATGACATATATTGAACTTTCGTTTCAGCTTCTAAGGGGGGTAATTCTCAACAAAGCGATAGAAAAGTAAATTGACTAAATTTGTATGGTACTAGACGTAGATGTCATTGTTACAACACTATTTTTGATAATTAGCACCGATTATTTTAAAAATTGTGTCGATTAGCGTAATTGTCTGAAACAACTTGAAGTCTAGAACAAGGCACAGACAAGAGCTTTAAGGACACGCCCCCCAGACTAGGTAGTGATTAGTCAAGTAAGTGACGGTGCTGATGACGACATGCGGCGCGCTGACACAGAGGGCGTCTATTTCCGGCGGTGACGCAACATCCGCACACTTCCGCCGGAGATACAACGAGATCAACTGATGAGCTTCCGCGGGATTTTGCGGTTAACACGTAAAACGGCTCGTTCAAAGGGGATCACGTTAATAGATTCATGTGCCGATAACGGCTTCAACCGACTGGGGAAGGAGTTATGTTTCATAAAAGCCCTTACTTGCACGCATAAAGTATATAAGAAGCATGTCTCTAAATTAAAGCCTAAGTTTTGTAGACCTTGTAGGGATAAGAAAAAGGAACAATCCCTAAATTTCTTGATAGTAGTCTACAGTTGAAAATTATTCACACGTGTAGAAAAGCTCTTAATAAATAAATTATGCAATGAAGGAGGAACTGCATATAATTGTTTTTCGGGAAATGCTGAACGATGGCCGTGGAAGCCTTACACAATTTACTGAAGGAGTAACTATGTCTATAAATTAGAGATATCTTGTATTCCAACTAAACCAGTCGGACTTTATTCTCGAGCAAATTTTTAGATTAATCTTTCTCAATAAAATAACATATCGTAATAAAATTAAATACGTAAATATTTCACTTCTCTTACCTGACAACAGTTAATAGTATTTTTATTTACTTATAGTGTATATATCGGTATATGAGTGTTGGATGCTCTAATCTGTTAATCTATAAATAAATTAAAACTAACCGGAACACCAGTCATCGGAAATACTTCAATGAAAACGTTAAACAACTCAAATATTACGTAATAAAAATAACTGTGAACAATGTGTTTTCATTGACAGGAAGAACGTAGTTAAACTCTGGTCAATAGAACCCTCGCTTTTACGCCTACGCTCGGTTTAAACTACTCTAGAGCGATGATCCGTTACAAACAAGGAATTAACGACGGTGAAATTGATACATATACGATGATGTATCAATTTCACAATTGCTAACAAATTCATTTCATAAAAATAGCACCAGAATAGCATAGTTAACTGTGATTCGACAGGTACCTATGTATTTTAAATAAAGCACTTTAACGGTTTAAAACGCGATACATTAGTTAAACTTATTTGAAAATGATTATTAACTTCGGCCTGACGTTTCGAATGCTTGGCAGCAGCCGTGGTCACGGGAGACAGTAACACTAACTAATATATCGCGTTTTAAAGGTTTAAAGTGTTTTATTTAAATGTGTACTACTCGCGTAAACTATAGACAGTATTTAGGTGCCTATGTAGTTTCTTATATGTAGGTCCATGAAAGTACCGTCAATCCGTTTGGCCGTGTCTACTTTTTATTTATTTATTTAATCATTAAAATTCATATCATGACAGGTGGGAGCCCAATTCGACACTGAACTTAAAAGCTAACATAGAAATATACAATACAACTAAACTATGACTTATTACTAACTATTAACTAATATTAAATATCATTAATTTACTATTACTAATTATCAGTTTATTATTTTATAATTCATATGAAATCATAAACTGTAAACACTTCACGAGCTCACTCCATGCATCATAGAAAATGTCTTTTTGCCTATGAAGCCGTTTACTACCTCTATTGATCTTGTCCAGGACGCTTCCTTTCGCATAAGACTTGGGCAATGCCTTTTATATACGTACTGATCAGGTACTAACTAACAAACTAATTCTTTCCAGCATTTAAGCTTTGTTGAAACTCAACACATTTTGAGAATCCATTGAAATATGGATGGTTCCCCCTTATTGTCAATCGCGACAGGATCATACATTTACGCCAATTGACTAAATACAAGCACGTATATCATGATGAATATCGAAATTCCGCCCGGCTCACGAACCACCGTCCAGGCTTCTTCATCTGTCCACCGGCAGGTGAGAAAGCCATCAACTTTAATCGGTTTCACTCTATAGATTTCCAAGTCCAAAGCTAAAACTAGATCGATGGCGCATTTCACCTACCAACAAGAAAACCCCTCCTCTATCATAAATAAATATTGCGTTATTAACGAAATTTATTCACCTACCCACATAACGTCACGAGCATTTCTGCCGTAATCCGTCCCACTTCGAATTGACGTGTCGCATCTGCGTTCAGGGATTTATCATCACTATTTCCACTTAAGTATCCGTTGAAATAACATTTGGACGCCAGGAAATGAGAGTTTAAAGGGGTCGAGCCGATGACAGACCCCCATTAGCGGAGTGACGATATGACAGTTTGACGACGCGGTAAAAGACGGCTGCGTAAAGTTCACACGATTGTTCCTATTATGGACTGGCGACGATAGATGCGCCGCAGGTGGGCGTTTGGTAGGACTCAAAGGATAGAAGATAAAAATAAAGCACTTTCTTTATGTTGGTACATTTAGAAACTAGAAATTCCTACAGAAATTTTTCTAACTTCATACATATAACTTAGCTGCCTGTTCATATGTAAAAAAAAACACTTTAACGGTTTAAAACGCGATATATATTTATTAAACTCATTCGAAAAATATCCTAACTACGGACCGACGTTTCTGATGCGTCACAGCAGTCGTGGTTACGGGGAGACTAGTGATACTTTTCAAATAAGTTTAACAAATATATATCGCATATTAAACCGTTAAGTTAAAGCCTTTGATGTATCGTTTAGTCTTAGACATGCCTTTAAAAAAAAGTAAAAGCAATTGCTATTAAGAAATTTAAAAAGAATAGATATTGATAATTGATAGGATAACGGATTTGAAGAGCTAGATTTTAAAAATAATGGTATGGTTGAAACAACAACTTCATCCTTTTGACAGGAATAAATCCAAAAAGAATTTATCTTAAGGACTCTACAGTTGTGTTATCTTGATAATTGTAAAAGCAATCTTTCAAATCTAATCTGTAACCGTCCGTAATCCCTTAATTCA